ATCAGAGTATGAAAATATTGTTATCTAGGTGCTATTTTATTAATACAGTCTAATAAAACCTCACAGGGCTTGGAAATAGAAAGTCCTGGCAAATGATACAATTTCTTAAATGCCACTTATGTGGATTATGTAGCAGTGATGACTTTAAAATTTTGTGTATGTATTTTTTTTCTGAACTTAAATTTTCAACCATTCCATCTCATTCACCATATGTGACAGTAATTTTGAATTTCCTTCCTAAGATAAATTTATTTTTAATAAGTTTATACTGGCATTTCTTTTAAAAGTTAGTTTCAAAAAGCAACTTAAACATAAATCTATTATCTTTAATATATGTAGTTTTCTAGAATGTCTTCAAAAAAGAGGGAAAATAATCCTTAAGGTAATATAGCTTTAAAACTGGAATTAATTATAGCAAACCTAGGTTAATTGGTAGTTTTGTTATTCTGCATTTCCATGGACTTTTTAACAATAAGATTTTACTCAAGTATTCCAATTTGAATTTTTTTTAAAAAACCTAAGATATAATTTTAAAAGAATTTCTAACAGTTGAGAAAGGACAGGGGACCCATAGAATTGAATAGAAAAATAAAAATTTCAAAGTAATTAAATAAAATAGGAAATGAGAAAGACTGAGTGAAACAATTCCTAAGAAGCAGAAAGTTCTGAAATGTAGTCACAAGGAAGAGAATGACACTGTCCCCCCAATAGTTCTTTGATTTGGTGATGTACAGGTTGTCAATAGAAATACAATGAATAATTCTATTCCATCAGCTTCAGGCTTTAGGGACAATTAGGAAGACATTAGAGGATTGGGCTTCCTTAAAATATTGAGAACTTTCACTTGGTCATTAACAAGGATCTCAGAGAAATTGCTGGTAAACATTTATGAAGATGCATGTTTGTTACTCAGAAACTAATGGAGACTAACTGAGTTTTAGGGAACACTTTTTAAATCTTTTGAGATGGAGAAATTATTGCTAATAATCAGTGTCATTTCCAAAGCTTCTAGTAACAGAAATTCAAAGATAAAGTATTTCCTTAAAGGAGTCAAAGTATGAGGAAAATTTTGATTCAAAAATAGTAAGTTAGCTTCTAAAACATGAGTTTTATTCTCTTTTTCCCAAAATAACATTATGTGTATTTTATTATGTATTTATTATGTGTGTTTTAGTTCTTGATATGTCAGCTTTCTTATTCTAAATTATAAAATCAGTAAAATAAAGGCAAATGTATTTTGAACAACTTTCTGTGCCATTTTTGATAAATAAGTGGCTTAATAAGAATATACATATTTATTTTTCTTATTAAATAATGTGCTATTAAAAAGTTTTGGATTGCTTATCTACCCATTTTCCTATCTACCTACCTACTTATAATATTTGACAAGAGACAAAGGGAATATGGAGAAAAATCTAAATGTCTAATGCAGAAACAGGGCAGAAAAATGAAATCAGATGGAACTAAGCACATTCTTTGAGGATTTTTTTTCATCATACTAAAAGAAACTAAAACAGCCTCTTTTCTACTAGGGGCTTTATTAACATAAAATCCTTACAGCTATCTTCAGCTGCAGTGCAGTACATCACACCTTCAATTAGCTGCTGAAGCCTTTCAAATGTTTTTGCTAAAAAATGGGCAATACATACTAGTTACTATGTCTTTCAAATTATTAAGCTGATGGTAGCAAAAATACAGAAATATCAGGAAAAAAATTAAGTCCATAAAAGAGGAGAAACAAAGTAATATTTCAGGTAATAAAATAAAATCTCAAGCAGAGAAAGTAACTTTGAAAAAGTGTGGATTAATTTGAATTTTCAGTATTTATAAATTTAAAATTTTTTATTTAGACAGAAATATTAATTTTCAAATTGATACCTCTGAAATGGAAAAATGGAAAAAAATACAAATAAAATAACACAAAAATATAAAAATATATGTTATTTATTTTTTATTGAAATCTGCATAAGACACTATTACAAACTTTAGTAAAAGACAACAAACAGGCTTCCTTTTATTTAGCTCTTAGCTTCTTTCTCCTAAGAAGAAATTTACTTATGTTTTTAGAAATCTTGGAAAATAATAAAAATTAGGATTCAGTGTTTGATACCTACATGAAACGATTATGTGGATCTGAAGGCGTGTGTTTTGTTGTTGGTTTATTTTGTTTATGATTTCTAATTCTACTTTCACTAATTATGACTATACAAAATTTTTTTTAAAGTATTTAGACCTATTAAATGAGAATAAGAGTACTTACCTCTCTGTAAATACTATGAAAATTAAATGGATAATATATTTTAAATACTAAGCAAAGTACAGGGAATACTTGGTTGTTCAATCAATGTATCTGAGCTATTTTTATTTTCTCCCCTTTGGTTTGCGTACATCAACTCAGGTTTTAATTACTCTTTAATGAACACTTGATATCTTGTCACAGGAATAACTCAAATGTCTATGTGAGCAAATTATTTGAAGACAAAGTTGTATAAAAAAGGCACAGGTTTTGTCCATACTTAAAACTAGGATTAAGTTTCTACTTGCTATGACAGTTAACAAGCTATTAAATTTTAATAAGCTGTACTTTCTCATATGTAAGATAAAAATGAAAATTTAAGATATTGCAGGCTCGATAGCTGATGTTGGAATGAAGTTTACACTGTGGATGGCGATTAGTGAGAACTCAACAAGTTCTAATCCTCTTCTCTGAATCTAGATAGGTATTCAGAAAAGCATAGATACATAGATAGAGAAAAGGCAGACAGACAGACCAAGAAGATAGATTACAGATGATAGAAAGAGATAACCAAATAGATAAGTGATAAGAAGACAGATGACAGAGCTAATGAGAGGTGAAAGAGAGAGAAGTTTAGAGAGATAAAAACAAAGAAAGATCTCCCATCTCTACTATTTACATATGATTACTTCAAGGCAGTATTCAATATTTTCTTTTTTGACATTCCTAAATAAATTATACCTTTCCATATATATATTTGAAATATTTAATACTTATTTATAAAATTAATGATTAAATGAAATAAATAGATAAATCTCTCAAGTAAAATATTATTACAGGTAACTTTTAGAATTTTTTTTAAATTGAAGTTAGTTTTTCTTTTCTACATAACTCATAGATTATGTAATTCTAGCATTCAGAGTCATAATAGTTTTTGTATATTTATTAATAGAGATGTGCACAAACTACTTGCTTTAAATGAGACATTTGTATTGGCATCCTCATTGCTAAACCAGCAATTATGTCATATGTAATACCAATTAAAACATATACCAACTTTGGCCTTCATTTAAGAATGACAGTCACTTTCCAAAGATACTATCTTTTGATATCAAAATTGATAAATAGCTTTTTTTTTACAACTTACATCTTAACACGCGATAAATGAGATTTTGTTAGTTCTACAGGGGAAAATACATCAAATACATTCCCATCAAATACATGGCTTAGTTAATGGATGAAAAGGAATCAAAGTTAATGTGAACTACAAGGTTTTCAAGATTTTTGTCTGTTGTTTCGTTCTACTAATTAACAAAATTCTTTTTAATGATACAATATATGAAAACTGTTTATGCAGCTTTACAAATACTACAATGAATACTTATCAATCATTTTATGTGTCATACACATAGGTGGGTCAACTTGTAGAGTGATTCACGTATTAAAATCTAACATTCCATTATTTAAAATGTGTCTACAAGGCTTATGTATGTTATAATATCACAGAGGCACACCCATCACTTTGACTAAAATCCATAGTATAGGAACTGTGCACACTGGACAAGTTCTAATTGCTTCTCTTAAAAGTAATTTTTACTATAATATTGCATTGTTAAACAGAAAGTTGTATGGTGAAAGATCACAAAAAATGACAATACTCTAATACACTTAAACAGGGTTTTTGTGAGGACAACCAATCTTAAGTCTCAGAAAACTATAGTGTATAAATATTAATATATATTTCTATACTGAATATATATATGTATGTTTGTTTTAAATGTATGTAAGCAAGTATATCTAGCATATTTACATATATGGGTGAAAGTATGTTTGTTGTCAAATTTAAAAATGATTCAAAAAATTAATAATGCTATACATATTGCTTTATATATGCTAGGACAGACTGCATTATAAAAATTTTCTAAGTATCAGTCAAAAATTGGCCTATAAATTAGGTTTACTTGGATTAATTGTTTCTTAGTTTAGAATATGAAATAAAAAACAAATATATAAAAATACTATTAATATTTTATCAACTGATCTAACACAAATGTAATGCTAAAATATGTTATGTACAATAGTTCTCTAAATTTTTTAAAATATAATGTAAAAAACTTATTCACCATTTGTAAATATTACATATAAGAGCATCTTAATTATCTTTGAATGAATCCTTAGCAGATATTTCATTGTGTTTGATAATGTTGGTATGTTAAAAGTATGAAAATTATTAAAGTCATATTAAATGAGCATATTGAAAAATGACTTAGAAAAACAATATGTGTTTATTTACTCATATATCTTATTACCTCTATAGGACAGACAAGTTCATATTTATTTGATATCTATGAAGATTCAAAAACTATTTTGAATCTAAAATGCAAACTCAAAACAAGCTAACATAGGTAAGAGATACAAAATTCCAGTCAAGTATTTATTTCACCTATCAAGTATTGCGTTTACTAATTTTAATATTGTAAATTAGCATATCAAAATGCACAAATCTAGCAGATACATGCCAGATTTTCCATGTTAGTAAAACCCAAAATAGGAAAGATTAGGCTGATATTCAAGGCTTTCCTGTTTCAATGTGTCTGTGATATTGAATAATTACTTTTCATCTGGGGTAACCATTGGATTTACAGTTTTTTTTATAAACTATCAATGTTGTAGTCCACCTTGATAAACTTCAACTCTGGTACTAATAGGTTTATAATGATTGCTTAAACTTTACACTTTGTAAGCAGTTAAAGACTTCACTCACCTTGTTCAAGTGGTTGGCTTTTAGTTGAAGTAGTTTTCATCTTGAGTGCCTCCCTAACAGACATGTCACAGCAGGAGCCTTTGTTAGTGTCTTGGTCACTGTCAGCCTGATCACTGTCCCCGTGCCCACTGTCTCTCAGGCTGGCTCTTTCTGGATCCTTAAACGTGGAGCTACTGAAATACATATAAAGAAAAAAAAGAGAAAGTGTTGTCTCTACCAGTTTAAATCTGAAGTGTAGTCTCTTGCAAAGCAATTTTGACACGAATGCAAATGGGGAAGCTGAGAAAGTTATTTAATAGGCCTTACCTTTGAACAAACTGCTGCCTGCTGCCCATGTAATTGGGCTCTGCGGGAAAATTGTCTGTCTGTGAAAGAGAAGGAAAAAAATACGTATAGTTGTACACTGGACAAATCTCCTGCAGAGCAACAAGATTTCCTAGTGGAAAAATGATTAATAATTCAAAAATTCCCTTAATCTTCAGATTTGTACATTTTAATTAAATTGGAAATTGCTGACATGTAATTATGTACTCAACAATTAAATGATTCCGGTCCACAAATTACCTGTTAAAGTAAACAATGAGCCTGTCATATCTGGCATTCTCTATTAGTACCAGGATGGATAACACTATCTGTCTTGTTTCATTACTTAGATATTAAGATTGAATATTTGTGGGACGAGTGGGAAATGACCTAATTTTAATTTCTCCAAATTAAAAGTGTGAATTATTTAATAATTCACATTTTTAAACATAATTACATTATCTGCTGGGATTCTAGGCTCTTCTAGATAAAATATCACTTAAAGTTGTCTACTCCTCAATTAAAAGATATGGGTCTTTCCTAAAAATTTTGCTAGAAACACAGACAAGCATGTCACACATGATTAATCTCATCTCTAAATCACCCTCACCTGTACCCCAATCATGGAAATTATGTTCAAACATTCCAATGGAAAAGGCTATCACTTTTTGGTTCTTAAAAATAAAGTAAAATAAAAATAAGAAAAAATTACTTAAAATATCAAGAGTAAAGACATTGAAGAACCAGTCTTTTTGTTGTGGTTGTTTTTACTGCTTCCAAACTGACATGGAGGTCTGCCAAAAAGAACTGAATTCTCCTTGTATCATGGAACAGAGTCTTTTGGGAGAAAGAGACTAGATCTTTCATGGATCTCCCTATACTGTACATTCATACACGTTACTTCTTCTTGCAGCTGACTCAGGGACAAAGCTTCTCCTGTTTTCTGCATCACTTCATATCAGCCCATTATGCTCTGAAGCAGCTATGGGTTAGTACAAGACCATCCAGCCTACAAGTATGGGTGACACAGAGAGCAGGCAATTCATGAGCAGAGGGCCCAAGGTAAGACTTAATGTAGTGCAATATGTGCTTTCTTTATAAATAAGGGTAATATAAAATAAGAGTATTCTCTTTTGCTTTCAATGTAATTTTTTAACTTATTTGGTTTTATGAACTATTACCAGGGTAAAAAAGACATGTTAAGAAAAATTACTTATCATGTAAGTTTCATTGCCCACTAGAAGTTTGGGAGCAGGGAAATCCAACACAATTTTTTTTATTTGTAATTTTCTTAGACCAAATGACCTTTATCAACTACATGCAAAAGGAAGATTACCAAAGTGAATTTATTTCTCAGGCCTCACCATCTTTAACTAGTAGTTGGTAACAGACATTTTCATTGACATGTTGTAATAGTGAAGCATATTAACTTTTTTTCCCATAATGACAAACTACCAAATTTTAAGGATAGCAATGTCTTCAAATAAAATTAATAGTACTAATCTACACAAGTGGCAAAAATGTCTGCAAAGGAATTTTGCAATTATTAAAAGTATAATTACTTGGAAACTACTCATACTTATAAAATTTAGTTTATCGTATGGATTGGTTCAAAATTGTATCCCACCTATTAATGCAGTCAGGTAATAGCTAAGTATAAGTGTCTTAAAACACTTGAAGAAAACAGAATCTTGGGTAAAAGAGAAAGTAAAATGCAAAGTGAAATTGAAAACTCTAGTTAGAAAATATAGTTGCTAATGTAAATATTCTTGTGATTTTTAAATGGTTTCAAGTATGAATCCCTAATCAGTTAGACACAGGAAGGAAGACTGGCAAAGGTTTTCCTATCATTGTCTTATGAAGGACAATTTCTAAAAATGTTTATGCATTATTAAAGTTTTAAAAAGTTCTAGTAAGAAACAAGCAAGAGAATAAAATACATTTTTCATTTGAATGATGAACTATTAAAGATTATATGTGTGTACAATCATATATGTATGCATCAGAATGTTTGTAGCATACAGTGGTAGTGCTAAAAAGCATTGTTTTAATGAAAATAAAAAAGAAAAGAAAGGAAGAAAAGGAATGATTTGGAAAGAGAAAGAAAAGAAGAAAGATAGAAGCAGAAGAAAAAGCAAGAGAAAAATACAGAGAAAAAGGAGAGAGAGAGTAATAAAAAGATGTGTGCAGGAGGAAGAAGCAGGGCAGGGAAAGGTGAAAATAAATGTAGAAAAAAGAAACAAAGTTGGTCTATGATCATAGAATTTCACAAGGCAAAATTTAAAAGTTTATAAGTTAATCAGTATCTGAATATAAGAAGTTTACTAATGTTATCTGTTCTGTCTCATTAGAGTAGACAAGAATGTCAGAGACTGTGTGAGTGTGTGCGTAATTGAAAAATGAGTGAAATAATGTTCATGAAATAGTATTAATGTACAATAATATATGAATATATGAATGAAATTTTATTTAGTCTTTAACAAAGTTACAACTAATTCACTATAAAAACTACACTGGTTAAATATAAAAAGTAACATTTTCATTATCTAGGCTACATGGGTGTCTGAAATTTTATTTAAAATAATCTAACAATATTTGCATGGAAAAATGAATGGAGATAAAAAAGCTATGTGTATCATAGCATCCTTTAATTTAAAAGTAGAAGAGCATTCAGATATTTTGTAGCACGTTACTTTTAACAATTGAGTTCTAACTTGTACATTTATTATCCTTAAATCTTAAGTCTTGGAAGAAAGTAAAATATGAGATCAGACACTTATAACTACTTAAGTCTCAGTAGAGAAATTTGATATAAGTATTGATGTCTTAAAAACATTATCCTCTTTCAGGAAAACCAACAACTAAGGATATTTTCCCCTCAAACTAAATTCAAACACAATAACTTTTAAAAGTATTACTTTAAGAACATATAACTTAACTTTATCAATAAAAAATGTGTACCATGAAAATGGATAGTAGATACACAAATATCTGTAATTAGATATTTTAAAAATTTAGGATATAATGACCTAGTCAATCTTTCCAAAAGCCAGAATAAATGATATAAAAGTAATTTTTTAGAAAGTCATTATTGGAACATCACAAAAGACATTTAACTAGCATAAAACTAAATTGCCTTCCTGGTTTTGTTTTGTTGTTATTGTTGTTTTGTTTGTTAAAAATAATAAAAATTTAGACATTACAAAACAAACAAAAAAGTAAACAACAAAGCAAGCACACATTTGAATTTAACAAGTCTGCAGGATATGACAGTTTCTTTGATTGTTTGCCTTTACTTATTTCTCAATTAGTACTCAGTAAATTGTAGTACATTAATCAAATTAAATTGATTTGATATTCAGATCTGAAACTTTATCAGCAGTAATCAATAATAGACTATTACTAGATAGGCATGCTGGTATATACCTTCAATTGTTACACTTGGAAAGCTAAGGTAAAAAGATTGTAAGTTCAAGGCCAACTTGGGCTATATTTGTAGTTCCAGGGCAGTAGACATTGTGTCAAAAATGAGTTAACGAATGAATAATTCTTAAGATATGCCATCGTTTACCACTTGCTCATCCTAGTAGTTCTCTGAAATACAAAACATAAATTGAAAAACAGGTATCTCTGATAAAGATTAAAAGAAATAATAAACTATGTTAGGTAACATTGGGAAAGCTCCTTATTCATAAAAGATTAATTTGATATGGTCACTTAAAATGTACCTTAAAAAGTTGATCTGAAGGTGTATAGAAAAGAAGTGAAAATGGACTTTTTGAACAACTAAAACATTAAAAATAGAAATTTTAAAGGTATATCAAGCATTTGATGGAAATCCATGTCAATTAATGCTAAAAATTCTTAGCAAATGAGGAATGGGAGAAAACTTCCTCAACTGGATAAAAGGAATCTGTTTTAAAAAAGTATAGCTGGCATCACACTTAATGATGAAAGACTGAAAGCTTTTCCCCTAGGCAAGGAGGCCTACTCTCATCACTCCTATCCATCATTGTAATGAAAAGCTTACCAAGTGCACTAATGCAAGAAAAATAAATAAAGGGCATACAAACAGGACAGATAAAAATGTTCTCAGGCAGTATTATTGTATTTATATACAATATTATTGTTTAAGTGGAAAATAGTAAGAAGACAAAAGAAAACTTCTTAGAACTAATAAATGAATTAAACAAGGTTGCTACATTTAAGGCCATCACACAAAATTCAATCATATATCTAAATTCTAGAATGTACTATTGGAAATCCAAAATTTAAAGGAATGAACATACATGAAATACTTAGGGAATCCATGTATGTTTTATATATATGGGGGTATAAAGTATATGATCTATATGTTGTAGATTAAATGGTAAGATAATTAAATGGAGCCTATCACATGTGTATGGATTAGAATAGTCAACACCAAAAAGATGTCAATGTCCTTCAAATAATCTACACACATAGCATATTCCATGCAAATTCCTCACAGGATTTTCTGCAGCTATAAACAAGATGATTCTTAAATTTATATGGAAACAAAAATGAGCCATAACAGCCAAAAAACTTTTGAAAATGAAGAATCAAGATGAAGGAACCATGCAGCCCTGTAAATTGCCATGGTGCAGCCTTTAATGAAGCTGCACTAATTAAGACAGTGCAATATTGCCAAAAGAATGGGCACATAAATCAATAAAACAGAAGAGACTATTCACAAGTAGACTCACACAAGAATGGGAGAATTTGCAATGTGGCAGAATACACAAGTATAATTCTACAGACAATGCAGTGGAAATGAACTATTACCTATACTTCACACTTAAAACACACATTTCATGTGCAAACACACACACACTTAAACATGGATCACAGACATAAATGTAAATAATAGAGATATAAAAAATTAGAAGAAAAACCAGCAGAAAAATCTTTGTTAACTGAGGATAAATAAAGTTCTTAGCCATGACACCAAAGCATGATCCAGAGGAAAAAACAGTATTGGGCTTTATTAAATTATAAATGCTGGTTTTGCAAAATGCACTGTAAATAATATTTCAAAAAGCTA